CTTTTTTAAGTACAATTTATCTTAAAATTCATATAAATTGCAACAATCAAAGCTATATTTGATATTTTGGTTTAAAGACTTGAAATGACTTGAAGCTCAACGCAGATGACTTGGACTTGACTTAGACTTATGGGCCAGTGACTCGAGACTCGATTTTGACTTGGGACTTGACTCGGACTTGAGGTAAAAGATTTGAGACTTACTTGAGACTTGCAAAACAATGACTTGGTCCCACCTCTGGTTTATGGTAACCAATTTTGACAATTCTAACCCTAAATTTCATCTATAACCAAAGGGATTATTGTGCATTGACAAAAACAAAACAAAACAGTTAAAGTATGTTTTTTTTTTTTTCTTCTGAGATCAAACCCTGCAAAAACTATTAGCTGCCAATCTACAGTATATGAACAACGCATATCTTTCAATAGAGTGCGAATACTCTCTAATTACACAAACCAGTAAACAATACCAAATGAACCAGACCATTGCACAGTACTGAAGTTGTATCTTTGTGTACATTTACTGTCAGCACATCCATCCCTCTCTCCCTCCCTGATCCAGCTGTCAGAGGGAGCACAGGGGCTGGAGCTGGCCAAGCGGAGAACAGAGCAAGGCACATGTCAAAGAATCACCATCCAGAGTAAACAAAGTACAACACAGCCAAAGCAAAGTCCTCCCATCAACAGCTTTCACGCTACTTTTCACAGCCTTCCCTTCATTTTCTCTTTCTCTTTTCACTCTATCTTGTTTCCTTAGTCCTTCTTCTGTCTGTATTCTGTATTCCAGGACATTTGGTTTGACTTACAAGAAAACATGGAGAACTTTCTCAATGGGGATGCACTAAGGGCTGATTGAGTATAAAAAGTCATTATCACAATATAAATCACAATAAAAGAGGCATTTGGTATGATTGAATAATGCTTTTGATTATGGAAAGGTGCACTACATTTGACCTGTCTTTCAATGACACTGTGACAACTCATCAGGAGCAGTGGGTGCAGGGATTCAGAGATGAAGAGATGGGTATGACTGACAGGTGGATTAACCAATCAGAGAAACACATGGTTCATTCACAATAAACATGGGGTCTTAAAATCAGAGAAATGAAAGTAGCAAAGAGGACTGATCAACGATGACTTATGTGATTGGATGATCCAAAGTTCTGTTGTTTGTTTGCTGCATTGTGCATTTAGCTTTCTGAAAGAATGTAAAAGTATTATAAAACAGCCTCCTCATCATATTTGGCCCATAGACTGTAAATGGACATACCAATAGGAAGTGAACATGAGGGCACTTCCGACTCCATCGACCCTGGCTCCAATTGACTTTACATTGAAAAATTGTCACTCCTCTCTCTGTAACTGTTAGACAGGCTGGTGTCACCTAGAGCCTCCGCTCAATTTCATTTGTCTCCAGCAACTCGGTCAGGAATCGGAATACACTAAATGGTTTGCAAGAACCCTGGAAGTTGTAGACCGCGCACCGGCCAATCAGCAAAGAGCTGTGAAGCCATGAGGTCAAACTCAAGCACCTGTCTGGGTCCTTTTTGTGGTACAGCACAAGAGTAAACAAAGCGCTTGAGATGGATGTAGACGAAGGCATACATTCTGTGTTGGCAACGATTCCCGAGATTGAGGATTTAAAGTCGGATCAAAGAGAATGTTTTGTGAATTTTATCAAGGAGAAATACGTTATTGCCCTTCTTCCTGCGGGATTTGGCGCATTTCATATGTCACGACCAAATAGCAGTGATTGGTTAAATTAAAAAAGTACCCGCCTACCGTCGAGCGAACAAATCGTAATGCCGCAAGGTCAGACGGTTTCCACGAAGTGAAACCGGTTGATGAATCAGGCCATGTAACTGCTGCGTTGAGCCTTGTTATTTTGCTCTTAAAATGTCAATCCACTCTATATGATCCTGGTGTCTTTATTTCTTTATTTTGTCTATAAATAAATTCCTATTCCTTATATGGACCCTCACTCTTAATTCACCCCTGTAACCGCTAGCATTATGAGCTTCATTTGACTGGATGCTACAGGTGATGTCACACTCCCTTTGTCCACTTCTTTATACATGTCTATGTCTATGTTGACCACTGTTCATATGGTAAGGTGGAGTTCCCTTTTTACAAAATTTTCATGAAAGTAAACTGTATATATTTCTTGCAAATATTATATTAAATTAAAGTTTAAATAAATACCTTATGGTGGTCATTTTGTTGCATTTCCTGTATTATGTAATTTACAAGGAACTGGAAGGATAGCACTGTTAAGCAAGTCATTTTGTGCCCTGATAATACTGCAGAGATTTAGATACTGTTACATCTATACATCCTAATTATGAGTCACTTACTACTATAAAGTAGTACAAATACTTAGTCAATGCAAACGATAAAAGCTTGTGAGTAAAAACCTCTCCTTAAGACTCATGTTGTCCACGTTCATTAAGTAAGATGCATAAATCATGTGAAAGTCCAGTGTAAGAGTTTGAGTCCAGCTCCACTTTTCCAAAGACTAGAAGTTAGGAAGTGAATTAAACTACAGTAGTCTGAAGTGGCTGCTAATAATTGCAATAGACAAGGACAAATTCCCATTCCCCACAGTGCATGTCAGACAGGCTTACACCCGAACTCCAGCAAATCCTCCTGTCCAAACAGAACCATATGTCCTGCTGTGGTCCTGACCAGCTGTGTTACTACAGAGGGGCCAGAAATGTAATGCAGAGTGTGAGGGAGGGAGGGAGTTAGTATAAGGAAGGGATGAAGGGCCGGTATGAGAGATTGAGGGAAAGAGGAAGAAAGCGAGAGTCAGTACGAGGAAGAGCTGAAGAGCAATGTGAGAGAGGGAGAGAGATTGTAAGAGGAACAGCATGCATGAGAATGAGAGAGAGATCAGAGAAAAGGTAGAAGGAGAGATGGTAAGAGATAGAAGAAAGAAAAGGGAATAAATGAAGAGACAAGGAGAAAGACTGAGAGACAGACTGTGTATGAGAAAGAGAAACAGATTTGGTTTGAGCATAAGAGACTGGAAGAGGATTAGAAGTAGGGTGATTAAATCGGAATGGTAGACTATGAGGAGAGTAAAAGAGAAAAAGGAGAGATGGAGGGAGAGAGAGAGAGAAAGATAGAGAGACGGACAAAGGGAAAGGTGGTGAGATATAGAGACAGAAAAATTCAGAGAGACTGTATGAGAGAGAGGTGTGGGGGATGAAAATGGATGGAGATAGATGAGAAAAAGAGGGAGAAAGAGAGTGTGAGAGAGATTCTTTATGCGCAAAAGAGGAATGGAAGTAGGGTGATGAAATGGGATAGAGAGAGAGAGAAAGACGGTGAGATGGAGAGACAAACAGAGAGACTGTATGAAAAAGAGTTATGAGAAAAGTAACAAGATGGAGATAGAAGGAGAAAAAAAAAAAAAAAGGAAGAGAGAGAACCTTTTCCCAATCTGTGTAACTTAATAAACCCTTTGCAAAGAGGGCTGCCAAAAGAAGCGATTCCTGCTCGACCTTTTACCGAGCTGAAAATGAGGTGGAAAACGAATGATTGCTTTAAACGCAATAAAGTCATTTGAAGTTTTGGGAGACGGCGGAGTTTACTCTGTGGTTGACACTAAAGCCTTTTAAATAAATCTTTTCACTTCCGTCCGCCTAGTTTATGTATTTCTTTAAGAGCGGCTGAAAATTCAAAATTTTTTTTTTTTAAATCAGAGATGAACTAACAGATACAAATGCGGTTTTAATACATGTTTTCAGTACAGGTTGTGCTCCATCGCTGAAACAAATTAAAGTGCAGTGGCTTGTAAACAAAAAGTGGGTTTATTCAAATCAGTTGAGCAAAATTGTAGAGAACTAAAGTAAGTAAAGCGATATTTACTGTGAAAAATGAAATACTGAGGTGAATAGGAAAAGGACACAAGTAAATGAAAATTAAATGGTTGGCAATGTGATTTTATAATGGAAGTGGTTGAGTTGAATAGCCAGGATAAGATCAACAAGCAGCCAGGAAAACTCTGTATCAAGGTCATGGCTTAGTTTGGCTGCTATATTTTTGATTTAGCTGAAATTGTGATTATTTTATTTCATAATTTAAAGGACCTATATCATAAACATGCCTGGAGTTGTGTTTTGTTTCATTCACGCATGTTTAACACACAAACCCTGCATACTATGTTTAGTCTGAGTTCTTCTGTCAAACTGAAAACATTCTGTTCCACCTTGTGATGTCATGTTGTAATACAGGTGTATTTAAACTCTATACACCTTCATTAGAATAATCTGGATGATTTCAGACCTGGAATTGCCAATCTCTACAAAAGAAAAAGGTAAAGGTAACTGCTAAATTGGAGATGTAGACAGACTAATAATAAAGGATTACTCAAACATGTGTGAATGAAACAAAACACAACTTGGATAGGCTGAGAGGCTGATGGTTCTGCTGCTGAATATAAAATACAGCATCGTAGCATAAATGCCAAAGTCAGAATCAAGGCTTTGACATTTCAGGTAACACGTAACACTAGATATAAACCCGACTACATCAGGTCTAAATTATAGCCAAAAAAAAAAAAAAAAGACTAAACCAGGTCTAAAAGTTGACAAAACCAAGAACAAAGTAGTTCATATAAATCCAAGAAGGATAAAAACATGAACAAATAAAACACACTCTAAATAAAATACATACTTAAACTGTAGAATTAGATCTAAACTTGACTTCATCAGGTCTAAATTATAGCTAAAAATGTAAAAAACAAATTACTAAACCAGGTCTAAAAGTTGACTAAACCAAGGATAAAGTATTTCATATAAATCCAAGAAGGACAAAAACATGAATAGATAAAACACACTCTAAATAAAAAAACATACTTAAACTGTAGAAGGTCCCGTGTACCAACAGATGCAGAAACACTGGCTTACATCTTATAAGTGAAAATAAAGTGTTCATGTTTGAAAAATCTAACTAAAAATCTTCCATGGACACTAGAGTTTGAGTATTTTGTCTTACCTGATTTGGCGGGAGGAACTCGTGGTTGTTTTCATTCATGTACATATTCTCACCGTCGAACTGTAAAAGACAAAGACACAAAACATTTAATAGGGCTGAACCATTTGGGAAAAATATCTCATTGCGATTTTTCTGACAACCATTGCTATTAAGTTTGCGATTTATGTTTTAATAATAGAAGAGAATAATACAAGAGTCACATTTCAAAACAGATCTAAACGACAGGGTTAGTGTTTTATATTAAGAATAAGCCAGGATATTGTGTTGTTTGTGGTAGAAATGATGGTACTTAAAGAGAGGGTATGATGACAAATTGACTTTTTGGAACTGCTTTAATGTTATTCCTTTATCAAAACATGTCATGATGAGGTTTTATATGTTATCCACGTATGTTTGAATAATATCGTGATTTTTCCCTGGGTCCTTTTCAAACTCTCCTTATGGCAGAAGCACAGTCCACAAGCCAAAACAATGCACTACAACTTCACAAACCTGATGCTATGAGCAGCAGTTTCATTAGCAAAATACATGCCGATTGTAATGTGATAGTGCTCTGAAGGAGGGTGAATTAACGTGGGGAATCTCAGAGTGTCAAAACCTAAACTGAAATTTATTTAACAGTTTAATACTGTTTACTGAGAATGAATACTGAGATTATAGCATTTTTAAAACAATAAAATTTAACATGGTGATCTAAATATGTTATGTATTAGCAGTTAATACCCCAAAGACGTAAAACACCCCCTCTTTTAAGGTTCTATATTACAGAAAATTGACTCTTGTGAGCTTTAAACATGTTATAATGTTGTAATCTCCCAAAAAACAGACCTAGAGTTGTATTTCATTCGTTCATACATGTTTAAGTAACCTTTTTATTATTCTGTCTACATCTCCAAAACTCAAAATGCTCTGTTCCACCTTGTGATGTCATGTAGTGGTAGATTTCAAGTTAGCAATTTACCTTTTGTTCAGTAGAGATCAGCAAATCCAGGCCTAGAATTATACAAATGACTCTAGTGAAGGTGTATGGAGTTTAAAATCGCAGTGGAGCACTTTCTGTTTTACCACATGACATCACAAGGTGCAACAGAGTGTTTTCTATTTGAGAGAAGAACTCAACAAACAACAAAATACAACTCCAGGTAAATCTGAGATGAGGAAACATATCGTAGATCAGAAAATAGCATAATATGAGGCTTTTAGGAATAAGACTACTCAAAAAATAGTGATTTGCTAATTGCGTCCATTCAAATTGAGATCTTTCTTACGATTAATCTTGTAACCTTTACCCTGAGTAAGACCGGGTGAGGAGGGGGAGCTGAAAACAGACTTGGGGCAGTCCATTACCAGCGGAGGTGTCTGGTCTTAATCACTGCCGGTGGACGGTGAGGGCCCTGATAGAGTCTGGGCTAACAGTATAATCACAGTTCATTAGACACATGTAATTAGACAGTGTCAGAGCTGTGAGACACCAACTGCTCCACTCTCACACTCTAACACCTGCACTAAGTGACTCCACGGGATTCTCCAGGCGATAGCAGAGAGAGAGATGAAGAGAGAGAGGGGGATGGATAAAAGGAGCCAGAGGGAGGGAGACAGAGAAACTAATGATCTCTGGAGTGGTCAAGTTCAGCAATGTTCGTTAAGAGATTTGTAATGAGAAGGTAATACAGGCTAGTGTTAGTGCGTAGTTATTAGTTAGTTAGTTATAAGAGAGAGAGATTTCATTTTTAACATTTATTGTGTCAGTCAAAAACATTTTGCATTCAATTTCATCCACACCTCGTGATATTTACATAAAACATGTATACCGTATTTTTCGGACTATAATTCGCACTTTTTTTCATGGTTTGGGTGGTCTTTTCACGTATACTCTAGTGCCACTTTTCACACTGACAGTCACGACAGGGCGCTCTAGGCTTGTGAATTCCTGCAGCACTGTCACTTGGCTCTACTGCGCATGTCGGCTGCAGAAGTCTGTCTGGTATCATGTCAGTTGATTGCACCATTACTTCTGTATCACTGACATTTTAAAATTTAAACAAACATAAAGACAACCCAAACCATCCTGCTGAGATTCAGAAAGGCTGGAATAATTCTAGCTCGAACTGATGGTGAGTCTGATGACAGCTATGCAGAAGAGGAAGCAATGCCCTGTTTACCTCCGGAGGCTGCAGAGTTGCTCAGAAGTGACACCGAGGATGAAGAATTCAATGGATTTCGTGATTTGGAGTGAGATAGAAAGTGTGGTAAACTTGTTCTGTTGTTTATGTTATAGTTATCTAAAGAACTGTTCATATGTGACGTTAACAGCCTGTTGTTCTCTGTTCTATTGTTATTACTGTAACTCGCCTTTGAGGATGAAATGTTGGTGCCTGGTCTCTAATTTAAAAAGAATAAATTTCCCCCAAAAAGTGTGACTTATAGTTTGGTATGATTTATACATGTTTTTTTCTTCTTCATTACACATTTTTTGGCTGGTGCGACATACAGTCCGAAATAATACAGTACATACACTATTTTCAAAAACAAAAAGGAAGAGCAAGAAGGAGGAACAAAGAGAAACTAATGATCACTGGAGAGGTAAAGTTCTACATTGTTCATTAAGAAATGTGCCTAATGAGAAAGTAATATAGTGTAGTGTTAGTGTATTAAGGATTGTGAAGAAGATGGAGACGCTGTGAGGCTGATGGTTGAAAATAATATTTATTTTTTATGAATTTGTGGAATTTGCGGTGAAGTTTGCCTCATAGCATAATAGCATAGCCCAAGTCATTATCAAGGTTTTCAGGAAAATACAAAAATAAACTGATGATGTCAATAAGCTGACTGGGGCAATTTGTGTGTTTGTGTTTTTGGCAAGCAGGGGCTAGAGAGCAGAGCTACAAAAAACTCAATTTGGCCAAGCAAATAACTCTTCGATAATGAAAGAGCTATCTATACTGTGCTTTTTATTCCCACAATGTTCTGCAGCACAATTACAATAAAAGCATTTGACCTTTTAGTTATCTTATGCTGTTACAAAAGAAGTGACCATGACCGGCGCCCTGAGAGGTGCAATGAGGTTTTCACACATTTACACTTGTCAAATAAACAGATATGAGTTAAACCATTGCAAGAGACACGCCCTTGTAATGTATTATGCAAAAATGTGTTCGAGTGTTACAGATGAGTGACAGCTAAGGATGTAACAATAACTGAAATATCATGATATCAAAGGGCTCACAATAATGTTGTGAGCTGTTCTTTTGTTCTTTTGCTTAAATGCATGGTTTTACAGTAGCAACAGCTAATAAACATCAGGAACTACATATCCCATGATTCAGTTCAGTGCAGACAACATGAAGAAATATGTTTTTTGCTTGAATTCTTGAGATTATGACAGTAATAATCCACACCATTATTGATTTTAAAAGCAACAAAATATCCTATCTACAATAATACTAGCCTCTCCAAAATATCTTAATAAATATCATACAGTGAGATGCATATCGTGATAATATCGTACTGAGAGATTTGGATATCGCTACATCTCTGATGACAAGCACCATTAAGCTCAAAAACAAAAACGCGGCTCTCATGTTTGTGAATTTACAAATATCACAGATTTTTCCGCCCAAGGTTACACTTTGTCGACCGCAAAGAGAATGTGTAGCCTATGGGAAGGGCTTTTTTCTGGCAAACGCAGAATGCTCTCTCTACGTTATTTTTAAAACAAACCTCCTCCATCACATCTTTAGACAGAATCAATTATTATTATTTTTTTTTACAGTGACGCTAATGAATCAAAGGACTTCTCATTTACCATCCAAATAAAATTAATCGCACCTTAATTTAATAGAATTTAGTCCTTTGCTTATTGATTCTGCAGAAATTGTCAAAATGTTTTTCAGTCCTATAACATTTTCTGCTCTTCAACAGCCACATTTGTTTTGATACAGACATACCACGCATCAGAGTCCTGTACTGGGTCAGGTACCCGCGGGTACCCAATGGGTAACCGCAAATAGTTGCTGAAAAGAGCAGGTTTTAACGTTCTGGAATTATACGGGTGGGTATTGATTACACATGGAGGGTCAGGTGAATCAAATAAATGATGAATGGGAAAAAAATACTTGATGTGCATCCAGGACGTCTGTTGCCCTGGAAACAAGTGCCATTTCCCGGTCTTTTCCTGGAATGATGGACCAGGCTGAGTGAGTAACTTCAGTGTATCTAGTACATAAAGCCCATCAGTGGAGGTGATTGGTTCGGTGACTGCACACCTGGTTTAGTCCTGGTTTAGACCTGGTTTACTCCTGGTTTAGACCTGGTTTATTCCTGGTTTAGACCTGGTTTAATGCTGGTTTAGACCAGTTAAGTCATGGTTTATCCTGGTCCAGTCCTGGTGTAGTCCTGGCGATCAGCTCTGCAGTTGTGGCGTGTATATATTTATAATCCACTAATGACATAACGTAGGTTCAGTCCTGGTTCAGCCCTGGTTTTGTCTTGGTCCAGTCTTGGTGTAGTCCTGGAGATCAGCTCTGCATTTTTCAGTCCTGGTTTAGTCCTGGTCTAGTTCTGGACTGCTGGCCTGTCAGACTAAAGGGCTGACCCTGATTTATCACGGCACGGGCGAGTAACGGGTGGAATGTTAACAGGTCTGGACAGATGTGGATTTAACTTTGATATAATCACGGGTTAACGGGCGACTGTTGGTCTCCAAAAATGGACCTGTGCAGGACTCTGATTCACTAATCCACCTGTCAATTACACTCATCTAAATTCATTATATAAAAATATTGCACCAGGTCTATGATTCCTGTATAGTACTACACATAATGGTGCAGTTTTCGGTTGTGATAGCTGAACTACATTTCTTCCAGTACAGTCTGACAGTTTGAATTATTTTCTGATCCAATACACAAGTTTTTTTTGTTTTTTTCCCTTTCTCTCTACACAAACAGTTACAGCTAACACAGACACAAAAGCAGTTATCCACAACATTACTCAATTTAAACCGCTGTTCCCATTTCCATGCCATCATTCGCCGTTACTTCTAGTGCAATGATTTCACTGAT